ATCCGCATGAATTTCCAGATCGGTAACATTTGGCTACCAGTTTGAGCGTTTTAACACGGGTGGCGCCACAAGTCAAAAATTCAATTTTTTACGACGCAGATGATTCTTGCCGTAATTGCATAACGTTTTACTAAGTTTGCGGCAAGAATTATTTGTGCATGCATTCAGTGTTTACGTCAGGTTATGCACGTGGAAAATGAAAAGAATTTGTACATACTGCTTAAATAATTAAAGTTTGTAAACGTCAAACGTTTAAAATTGAATATTATAAAAACGTAAGTAAAATATTTTGTCCCTTTCTTCTGGAAATGATACGTAACATATTTATTAAGATAGAAGTAGAAACGAGAGACATTTGTCATTTGAATTTTTCTAGGTTATTTGCACTGCTGGAATATTTAAGTTCAAATTAAATAATGAAAGTCAAAAGTACAAAAAGTGTTATGAAGAAATCTAAGAAATCTGTTACAAAGAAAAAGAAAGATTTGAGTGAAGTAACAACGGATGATTTTTTCAATCAAAATTTTGAAAATTACACTAGCAATGAGAATAACAATGACGACGAGGGTAAGGATAAATTCTTTACATTGTTATTTCCTCATAGTGTTATTGTATTTTTAAGGCCCAATAATAGTGATTCAATTTTGTAAACTTTTATAGGAAGTAGTGATGATGATATGAATGAAATACAACATAAGAAGTCATTAATGAAATTGAAGAAGACCGATCCAGAATTTTATAAATATTTAAAAGAAAATGATAAAAATCTTTTAGAATTCAATGTATCAGATGATGACAATAATGATGTCAGTGATAATGATGATGTGGAAACAGAAGAAAGACATATACCTGACGATCATCTAGAGGTATAATAATATATCATAACAAAGAAAAAGGGAGATTATAACTGTGTAAATAACATTTGGACTATATTGTAGGTTGCTAGTGATGAAAGTGATTTTGAAGGAGATGAAGATGTTGGCGCCACAAAAGATGTAAGAAAAATTACATTGCAGTTGTTAAAGAGATGGCAACAAGAAATTCAGAAAGACAAGTAATTTTACATTTTTTTTTATTTTAATAACAATCAAAAGAATACAAGGAATAAAACAATCAAATGGTAATCATATTAATTACATTTACAGGTCTTTAAAGACTATTAGATGTGCTGTAGAAGCTTTCCATGCTGCATTAGAAACAGTAGCAGAATCTCCCGATCCAGAAGAATTAAGTTATAAAGTAGAGGGTGGTGTAGGTTAGTTTTTTAAATTTATATTACACAGACTTCTTGATTACATCATAGTTCACATGTTGTAAATGGTAGACTATACTCACATAATGTTAAATCTTTTTAGTGTTTAATGGAGTTGTACAATTATGTATATTATACTTGCCCGACGCATTTAAACGATATTTAAAATTGGGTTCGGAAAATCAATTTCAAGCTCATAAATGTAAAAGATTTGTTAAAGTAAAAGGTATTTTAAAGTCCTATTTAACGGATTTAATTAAGGTATGTTCTAAAATCCACATTTAAACATCTTGAATAGTATTAATTCGAATTATTTTATAATTTATTCGTTTACAGATTTTGCAAAGTGTAACTTCATCCAACATAGTCACAGTGCTTTTAAAGCATTTACATCAAATGTTACCTTACACACAGTCATTTTCGTCATTGACAAAACCGTTGCTAAAGATTTTACTTAATATTTGGTCAAGTGGAGAAGAAACTGTTCGCGTTGTTTCTTTCTTAAGTATATTACGAATAGCAACTACTAATAAGGTCTCAGTGTTGGATATGTTATTCAAAGTAAGCGTAATATTTTAAGTATCTATTAAACATTAATATCTTTAATAATAAATATATATACATTTAATTTTCTATTGATATCTTAGGCAATGTATGTAAAGTATGTTGAGAATTCAAAATTTGTATCTTTCACAACGCTACCAGGAATTAATTTTATGAGGCATTCTTTGACTGAAATATATTTACTTGATAATAATATGGCATATACCCATGCCTTTTTATATATCAGGCAGTTGGCTATTCATTTACGAAATGCTATGACTTTAAAGAAGAAGGTAATTAACGAAATGTCCATATTATATTTTAAATCGTGTAATTTTTATGTAACCGCTTGTCACTTTAATATTTTTACAGGAAAACTTTCAAGCTGTATACAATTGGCAATACATAAATTCGTTACGGTTTTGGACAGAATTAATTCAGTCATCAAAGACCGATTCCGCGTTGCGTTCTCTTTTATATCCTCTAGTACAAGTACGTATTAATAATTTTTTGCAACAATTACCGAGCTTACTGAATATTTGATCAGAAGTAAAATTTTATATTCCATTTGCAGATTATTATAGGTACAATAAAAGTGATACCAACTCCACAGTACTATCCCCTCAGATTTCATTGTTTACAAATGTTAACAGACATTTCCAGAGATACTGACACGTTTATACCTGTATTACCATTTTTATTAGAGGTAATTTTATCAAGAATTGAGTATAAAACCATTTATGCCTTTACTATGTAATACATATTATATATTTTTTGTCTACAGATATTAAATTCTTATGATTTTAATAAGAGGCACAAATCAGTTTCGATGAAGCCTGTACCATTCATTTGTATATTAAGATTGTCAAAGGTACAATTGCAAGAAAACGGTTTCAAAGATAATGTTATTGATAACGTATATAAACTTATTTTGGAAAATGCAGCAAAAGATAGTCACACAATATACTTCCCGGATTTATATGTACCATGCATAATCCAGGTAGAGTAATAATTACTCAGAGAAAATCTAACTAACTTCCGTCAAATGTTTTTTGAAATTTAATACTGTACCGATTTTCTTTACAGTTGAAAGCGTTCCTAAAGAAATGTCACGTTGCAAATTACTCTAGAAAAATGAAGCAGTTGTTAGACAAAATTGAAGAGAACAGAAAGTACATCGAGAAAGAGCGCAGCAAAAGAATAATTGATTTAAGAAACATGTCGGAAGTCAAAAACTGGGAAACGCAGATCAAAACGCAAGGAACATCGATATCGAAGTTCTACGAATCATGGATAAAGATTTATCAGTCGCAGAAACTGAAAATGCTCACGAAGAACGAAGACCTAGGCGAATATAATTTACCAACACTAAAGAAATCAAAAAGAGCGAAGTCAGACGAAAGAATCCTAGAAGAGAGCGACGATGAAAGTGATTTCGAACTCCACATCAAGTCAAACGATGGGAAACCAGAGAAAAAACCCGAGAAACCCGTGAAAACTAAAAAGAAGAAAACGAAGATCAGCAAACCGACGACGAGCGACGACGATTTGCCGAGGGAAATGACAGACATTGTTCAAGACATAAACAGCGACGATTGGGATTAACTATAAGTATTGAAAAATGCAATTAATTTTAATTCCACGAAATGAATTTTTATATACAGAAAACAGACTACGATCACGATTAAATAAAGTAAAACTGAAAACCGATGTATCCACTTATTAAAATAAGCATTCTCCACGGTGACACGAGTCTCGGTTGATTAAACGCGTTGTCGTTGTTTTTCCTTCGCCAGGTGTGTTCGTAACGGTTTGTAACATACGATCCCCGGTGGAGAATCAGAAGTTGTAAACGACATTGAACGTGTGCGATAAGTTCTGTCGTGTAAGGCACGAGCCGCCGATTCCTAAGGTGTCGCTTTCTGGTAGTCTATTTTTACCAAAGACGACTGAAGGCAGTCGGGAAGTTGGTATAGCGACGGTTGGGCGCTATTATAAAGCACTCTGTGCTCGCCGTGCAGTAATTCATCTGAGCCGAAGTGAACGTTTTAAACAAGCGAAAAACATTCTTTCACTTTTTTAAAATAGATAATCGCCCGGTGATTTGTTTGTCGATAGGCAGGAACACGAGTGAGGGGAGGTTGAACACGCGGCAAGCTTTTGCCCCTTCCGTTTGAAACTGGGAAACGTATTCGGACGGCTTCCCCTTCGGAGGAGGATTCAGTTACGTTGCATAGGTGAAAAACATGAAAAGCAATCAAACGTTTATTAAACGATGTAGCTGCACCGTGAAAACCGTACAGTCGGGAACGACAGCGTGACTCCTGAGACGAGGATTCCTCGAACGTTAGAATTTCCCTTTGTCGTTGGTTCCATGCTTCGCACGGAAAAAAACTTTGACCCCAGTTATGAATGAACCACTGCCGAGCGATAGTGGTGACTGCTAGCCACTTAGTGCCGTGCCGACGGAGTTGCCGTGTTTGTGTGTGCCTAGCCGACCACCTCTTGTACCTAATCGACTACATTCGTGCGTGCCAGGGAACATATTGTAAGATGTGATTTTGTCTCATGGCGAGGGAGCCTTCGTCGTGAGATCTACTGTGCTCTTCCCGTACGGAGCACTTCGTTCCGAGTATAGTACGGTCCGCGGGTTACGTAAATTCGTAAAAAAAGAACGGATATATCGGAAAACCGAACGACGTTACAGTAAAGTCCCGTGAAACGAGAAATAATAAAAGGAGAGGAGAGCGAGCGAAACGTGCGTAAAACGTCGAAATGAGGAAGGCAGCGTTTGATAAGTAAACCTTCATTTTGCTTCGTTTTAAGCGGAAAGATTCGCGAGGTAGACGAAATTAAGGGTGGGGGAGGGTAACCAAAAATCGCGCCCTTTCTTTTCATTTCTTTTTCTGCGGGGAAGAGAGAAAACGAGATCTAACGGATTTCATTGAGTGTTGCGTTACTTCTTTGCTGCAGAAACGTAACTCGAATTAAACCCTGCTTAACTGTGAGCTGTAACGACTAAAACGGACAGTGATGTGATTTGTTTTCAGACACAGAGTAGAATACGATGATTTTAAAATAGCGAAGTTCGCTCGTCGATTCCTGTGCTCCCTAATCAAATCGGGAAACTGCTGTTTTTCTTTTCTCCCACGCGCTGAGAAACTGATTAACGTAATGGTTTTCTACCTTTCTACTAATCGTACATTACTTCGTGGAAGAAACGTAGAGTTGTTAACAGTAACAAATTTTCGAACTCTCTGCGACTGGTATTAACGATTTAAAGTGTCAGAGTAGTTTCGGATATTTCAATTTGTTTGCATATAATAGACATTGGATTTCGAGAAGGATACATTTAAATCTCCTTGAAACTGCGTTTTCTCTAATATAATTGAAGATTCAGGGGAAATAAATCGTATTCTCGTTAAGTATTCACATATTTCATCAGTGGCAATTGTAAAATTCATGAAATTACGTTAGCCAACAATTCCCTAGAGAATCGAAAGAAAAACTGTTACAAGGATGAGAGTGTGCTTTTCGCGAATATTCTCGGAAGATCGTACTTTCGTTTAGCGATAGAGATCGCCGACAGGACCCGTCGTTACATCGAATCCCCAAAAAATAGAGCGCTGGTAAACCGCACCGAACGAAAATGTTCGAAGTGTTACTGCGTATTACGTTACATCAGATAAATTTAGCATTTCTTTTGCATAGAACCCGATTGTAACGCTGCCAATACCGCAACGCGGAATTAATTGGTGTTTGGAAGGGAACCAATTCCCTTCGATCTACACCGACTTGCCCCCATGTATCTGGTATCGATCGGATTTTTATCGAATTTCTTCTTCTATCTTTAGTTTCGCGAAACAACGCTCTGATACAATCAACGAAACCGTAACAATCAGCAACGGTGTCTAGAAAACGAACGGTACACAGTACAACCCCCAATAACGCGATTAACAAAATTATTGAAAGTTTACTGTAAAAGTGAGATTCATCGAAAGAAAGTAACACGAGCAACGAAAGAATTTAGACCGACATTAACCCTTTGCACTCGAAAGTTTCTCCCTAGAAATATTTAACGTTTTTTGACAAGATAAAGACGATATTCTTTGAAACTCAAAGAAATCACAACTACATTGAGAAACAAAGTTATTGTATTCTAATATTTCACGTATCGAGGCGTTATACAAAGTTTAACATTAAATATCAGATTTATAGTTTACGTCGAATCAAGTGATGACTGAAAGTCACCTCTCGAGTGTAAAAGGTTAAGAAAGAGAATTTAACGTGAAATCGGTATAACACGGAATCTTTTAATCGCGTTAGACGAGGTTTTGCTGTACTAAGACTCAAGAGTTCCATGTTTCACGATCAACAGCCAGTTCACCATTAATTACGCCGAATTAATTCATGGAATAATCGCACCTCGCACAGTAATCCGCTAATCGATCACGCAACAGGTAATATTAATTTGCTGGCATCGTCACATTTTCCGCACATTCGCTCTTTCTTCTCCCTTTCGCAAGCCGTGGATGCGTCACGGGTGCACTGTTCCCGATGGAATAACAATTAATTTTGAGAAAGTATGACACGCAGCATAACGCCACCTCCACTAACCAACAGTAATTATTATTATTCTTACTAATGACAAATCGATTTTCTTGATCTTATTCGTCGCGCAAGGTGGAAAGACAATTCGACGGCACATCGGCGCTTCGAATAACGTGATCCGTAATTCCGTTACTCGTGGCACGTTTCTTCGTCGATTTTTGTTTTGACCGCGCGATTTGCTATTTATTTTCCTGTATCGAACGCCGGATTGTACCGCGGGGACTAACGTTCACAGTTTTCGTTCCGACAGAGTTAGTAACGTGCAGAGAAACATTTCGACATACGAATCGTACGGTATTGCGTCCGGAAACTCGAAGGATGCTGAGTATCGGTACAACAGCGTGAATTATAGCAACGCGCAGGAGAAGAGCTTTCTGCAACGGAGCATTTCCGCGGATAATGTTGTAATACGTTCACGAGGTTTCAAACCCTCCGATAGACACGACCCCGTGAAGAGGAACTTCCTTGAGCATCTGACTACAAAGATATTACACTTCGACATGGTGAGCCTCCATTTTCCTGTTTCCTTTGTTTTCGAGAAACAATTCGAAAAATAATCACATTGAAGCTACCAGTTCTTAAAATTAACCCATTACAGATTCATTTTATAATCATCAGGAAGGTACTAATATCAATTTTATTAAAGAACTATAAACATTAGTATAAGTCAATGAGAATTTCGATAGATTCCTTGCGATTCATGCAAGAAAATTCACATTAATTTGACTACCCTGCCCTATGATTTCCTTCCCGACAGCGTTTATTATTCATAATCCATTAGGAAAACATTCTACGTTTACTCTGGATACAATTAATAACAGAAAGGTAATATTCAATTCAAACTTGAAAGAATCAAGTGACATTTATACGAATTAAATTCTATTCGAAATCTTCACCACGATATTGTAGAGCAAGGCGTTAACCCTCGATGTAAAAGGAAATCGGTTCATCGTGTATTACGAGGAATCTTTGTTCCATTGTTGTTCTCAAATGTTTAACTTCGTTTCGCAGGAGAGCAACAGCAGCACTCCGGTGAACCTGCAGAAACTGCTCACCCCCGCCTCGGACTCGGAGGGGATCGTGCAATCGAAGAACAGTGAGTTGGCAATCGAAAGATCGATGAGAATCTGTTTAACGGGAACATTATTTTTACGAGATGTTTACCGAACGCAGGGAAAATGTTTGCCTCCTCGTATTTTTATGCACCGACGCACCCGACGGTCGAGGACCAGGTGGAGCTCGCCCGGCGAATCTCGCACTCGTTGAGCGACGTGAAAAACATGAAAAGCAAAGGGCAATCGATGTACGTGAACAGGAAGAAACGATCCGTGAAATGGATACACGACGGTAACGGTACGTGCGCACAAGGAATCGGCGAAGGGAATTTACACGTTCGAGCCGAACGCGGCTCTAATGTCCTGTATAAGATTCTCGGAACTCGAACTGATCAATTCCAGAATTAGATGCCCGAAGTGTTCGCGTATTTCCTTCGAAACGCCGCCGCGAGGATAGAGGAAAATTTCTTGAAAGCATTGTTGCGGCGACTCTTGCCAACAAATTAGCTAAATGTTCATGTTGATCGACGAAGCTGATCAGTCTAGGGTTTCTGAAGTATTGCGTCGATGCAGAAGTTCGGGCGTTTTTCGTTTTTAGATTCAGTTTAGTGGCTCGTTCGCTGGCTAAACCGAAGCTAACAATAAGTAAAAGTCAAGAAAGAAGTATCCTTTGTATATATTATAACAGGAAACATGTTATTTGTTTCGAGGAAAAAGAGATTTTGTTAATCGCGTATAGAAGATGTCAGAATTTCTGTGTCAAATCAATATTTATATTGTTTGTTGAGTTGCATTAATGGTGTGAATTGATTAATTGTAGGTATGGAGGATATGGAAGAGCCATCAACCCCTGCCCATAGGGTAAGTTGTGAATCTGATTCTCAGTCTATCGTTGTTCGTTGAAGAAAAGTTTTCTTAAGAGCTTGATATTTACCAGACTATAAAGAAACGTGTGGTATATATAGATTTAATTAAAGTTTCGTATGTCAGTATCATTCCATCGATAAAATCGTTGCAAGACCCATTGAAGGAGTAAAGAAATCCTGTCTTCTTTTCCTCTATTTTTTAATGAATATTTATAGCAGCGTAGAATGCGATGCTTTTTTTGTACGCTGTACGACAGGCAACACTCATTCAGAAATGTCAAGCACTCAAGGGTTGCACATGCGCGCGGGTCGAGCACTGATCTCTAATCGAGATGATTGCTCTCTGCTAGAGATAAATTTGTTTTATGTGTACTCTGTAAAATATTACAGAGCCATCTGTATATTACAAATTACATAATAATCGTAGAGTTATCTATTTATTATATCTAAAAAATTGTGCATGCTCTGAACAAACAGATAATATTATTTATCGATGAAGAACCTGTTACGAACATTTTAGATGCAACTTAGCTGAACCAAAAGTGATTAGTTAATGAGTACAGGTTACCAATAATAATTTGATTTCTGTTTTGAATATTTTATTAGGATAAAATTCCATTGAAATGCATGATGAACCCGCATGGGAAAGTGTTGGATATACATGGCATCCAAGCCCTGGGCGAGGAAGTGAACATCGAACCGATGCCGAAAAACCCCGAGAAACTTTTTAATATCGTTCGTGACCTGAACACTCAGAAAGGCCGCGGTAAGAAATCGCATGTTCGTTTGCAACGCATCTGGCCGTACATAAGTTTCAAAAATTTTTATCGAATGAAAATATTGTTTGCCCATCTTTCGACTAATTGAAGATTAAACATGTGACCATTGTTATCAAAAAACAACTCACAATCGAAGATATAAATTCATCGAAGATATAAAATCTTTCCACTTGTTGATGAATAAAATCTGTGTCATCGTTCGGCCAATAGACGAGTGCCCTGCTGGAAGCGGACAACTAATAATTCACGCTTTATCATTTTTATCCTGTTAATTCCACTTTCTATAATTCATATTTTTTTTATACTTGATATGTAATCACTTACCTGTTTCGATAATTAGTTGCCCACAATGATCGCTAGAAATATTCATCGTTATTAATAACACGACTGCTAAACTGCAAATTCAATGCAGTTCAATGTAAGAATCATTAAATCATTATATTTCACTTGAATATAAAAGAAACTCGGTATCCCTGCTCCAAATTTCAAAAATAAATGAACAAAAACTCAGGTTTGCTTGCAAATCCTCAGCCTTGTCATATTTCAACATTATTTTTATCCCTCGAACCTTGCGCGTTCTCGATTCGAATTTCACTCGTAAGGTCAGTTTAAACCTAGTCGTGAACATCATTAAACATAAGAATAACTTATAGGTGCCGAGATATTTGCGAAGCGCAGGAAAAGGTCTGAGAAATGGGTGGTGGACACTGATCAACCGCAAACGCCCGGCACGCCAGGAATGCCGAAAACACCGATGTACCCGAGGAAACAGGTAATATGTCTTCGTCCGAACCCATAATCCACATCCAAGGAGTTTGTCGATAGTTTCGAAATAACGAGCGGTGCTGTAAAACGCTCGAGTCTTTGAAGCTACAAGGTTTAACCTTAAAAGCTGAGTCTCGAAGACTTGGAGTTCAATAAAGTCTTCGAAGCTTCAAGACTCAGCCTTGAAGCTTTGAAAGCTCGAACTGAGTCTTGAGAGTCCTCAACGCTCGAGTTTTCATTCTTGAAAGCAGTCGAAGACACGAGTCGTTGCCATATTAACACGGCATGGGACATGTCAAACTTGAAGTTCAATTTCCGAGACATTTCAAATTTACTAGGCTTTGTAGAGTTAATACAGCAGATAACAGATAGCTGGGGTTTTGAAATTTAAAGACTCGAGCAGTTTCCAAAGCTGAAGACTCGAGCCTTAAGTACCCGAAGCTCTAAAAGCTTGAGTCGCGGCTACAGTTTCTAAGGTTCAACGCTCAAAGCTGACTCTTACAATATTAATAACGAATTTCCCATCTTGTTTAGGAAATGAACGGCAACTCGAAGTTCTCGTCCGCGCCGTTCTCGCCACTCGCGGCCGAGCCATTCGACGAGAAACCGTTTTACAACCCCTTTACCGTGGACTTGTCTCTGAACGATACAAATCCGCCCACAACAGGTATGTCGAGTGCAGCGTCCTTTATTCCTCGACACACAATTGGCACGCATCTCTGGCACTGTTTCACGTTATATAGCTGTTTATTTCTAATGTTTTCAAACAGTCACGCTGACAGGCTGACGAACACCAAGGATTTGCAAGCGGGACAGGCTTGATTTCATAGTTATTTTGAATCAGAGCTTATTCACTTGAATGTAATCCGGCTTTGTTTGCATCGTAGATCCGCTCGCCGTAACAATCTCATCGCTCGCTGATTAGAATAACACGAGACGGCTTAATCGTCGGATAAAAGTAACCGGTTGAAGGAAACTGGATCAATCGGTCGAGAACAATCGCGAAAACGACACACGTTTATCGGGATGCCGATCGATCCTCGGATCTACGTGCCGATGATCCGCGAGAGGTGCAACGACCTACCAAGGTTTCAATTGGCAGGCGCGATCGATGTTATTCAATCGACGTCGGACCGTTGCTTCGTTCTTTTATCTTCTATATATAAAATAAACACGACGACCCGAAACTTCGTTGCCAATCGAAATCTCCGTTCCGATTAAACGGGCTTAACTAGGAACGTTATTAATACCCGGTCTCACTTGAATCGGCTTATGAAAGTTTTCTCCGGTATCTTCGATTTCGTCCGATTTTTATCAGAGAAAAGAAGACTTAAAGGATTTTTCGAGGGGAATTCCAGATTATGATTATCTCCGCGAAAGTGCGAACGAATACTTGTCTCCTCTTTAACGATTGATCATTCATAAAACAGTCGTAGAAATGTGCAGTTTCTATTAACCGATTTCAATTACAGTCTTTCAATAACGAAATACTTCTATGACGCGTAACGGAAAGATTTCCACGCATCTCTGTTTATCCGTCTTTTCTAGCGGTTACGATAAGATGTATAAATCTAAATATAGATCTGCATCGAATAACGCGAAAGTAACAGCGCGCGGATACGTATTTGTAACATATTCGCGGAGTTCGCGAATGTCCCGCGAAAATTCCATTCGCGCCGCGTTCGTTATCAGGAGAGAGTAGACTTTTTTTTGTCGATTATCGAACATTGATAATCCGAAAGTAATCGCGACGCGCGTAGACGAACAGTGGCTTACGCCTCGATCATTATGCGTTTCAGACAGGAATCAATACCGGTGCAACGGTAAAGAGTGCAACCACTTAACCGAGGTGAAAAAGATTTATCTGCGGGAAGTGGCTGTCGGCACCGACAACGATTTCCCTCACGAGAAATATCGGTCGTCGGTCGTCGAGAAATCACGGCGGACCGCTTTGGAACCTAACAACGAGCGGTATAGCAATTACCACGCGCAGAGTAACAATTACGAGCCGCCGACTAACGCTAGCAGGCGTAATCATAACAAGGCTTCGCTGGCTAGATCGAGTTTCCCCAATAGATCCAGCGCGACTAACAAAGACGGCAAAAGCTACGCGAAAGAGCAACGCGTGACAGAACGCGTGCAGATCAATACCAGAGAGAAGATCGTGAACACACAACGGGAAACGGAGGAGACGCGCGTCGACAACGAAGGGAACGAGTACACGCCGGTGCCCGTGAAACAATTGATACAGGAATTCGAGAAAACTTGCAGGCCGGTTCTGCAGTACAAGCAGATCAGTCCCAAGGTTATCCCGATCGTCCAGCACTGCTCTCTAGATAATGACATAGCGCGGTTCTTCGAGACTCGCAATTCAGTCAAGTACAACGCCGAGGAGGAGCACAGGAGGTGAGACGGAACGGAATTTTCAAACCCGAAACGGAACTCGACACGAACCCTCCCTTCCTTCCTCTCGCATTCAAGTTTGTTCAGAAGAATCGAAGAGAATCGGTTCAGAACTTCAACAAACGTGTATGATTATCGTTAGATAAGGATTCGAAACTTTTATTTCCTTTATCGTATCTTTTCGCATATAGACCACCCGGTATAAGAAGCTAGCAAAGTTAGGATATAAACCTTTGGACAGTAGTGATCGAAGATAAGATTGCAGTATCGTTGTTTCTGCTAATGAAGTAGGTAGCTAAAGCGTACGAAGCTTCCGGAATCTTTGGACCTTAAAAGAACAGTATCCTCTTTAGAGTTACAGTTTTTTGATCTTTTAACAGTCGTCTTAGTCGGCGAATGTTAGAAGCCCCCAGATCACCTGTCAATCCTCAAACACCGACAGTCTGACAGAAACTTCTCTCCGTAAAGCTCCCAACAGGTTCCAAACACAAACCGGCATTCTACAACTTGTCTCAACACCACCCGCGCGTTCCCACGAATGCCCACTGTGAATCAGAAGAATCCTTGACCACCGATCCCACCAAGCTCACCGAAAATCACACGGAAAGCCGTATCATTCCGAATTGATTGCCATGCAGAGCGAGCGGTCAGCAAGCGTACGAGGACGCCATGAAGCTCCAGGATCACCGCAACAACGGTTACGTGTCCACCGACGACACCGAGTACACCAGCGATGAGTCCGATTCGCAAACGAACGAGTACGGCAGCGAGGAGATCGTTTATCGCGAGAAATCGGAGTCGTCGAGCGCGATGAACGGCGAGCAGGAGTACTCGTCGATGTACCACGAAGAGTACACGAACCGGCGCCGCTCGGTTACGTCCCAGGAGGTCGAGGACTTCTGCGGCAACGTCGCCGACGATAAATACGTGAACACAGAGACTGACGTGCCAGTGGAAGCGAAATCGCTGTTGCTCTCGATGATAGCCTCCCAAGAGGACATCCTGCAGACCATTAAACACTTGCGTAACACGCCGGTTCTGGACAATTTGTTGCACGGCGTCGCTTCGCCGGACTTTAAGTTGAATGATGCTTGCGATGAGGACGTAGGCAAGTTGCTCAGCATGCGCTTCCGTTTGCTTGGCTTTGCTCCCTGAACACTTTCCTTTTCCTTTCTTCTTACAGGTGACTCCCCGTCTTGGGCTGCTCGACTTCACGCTAGAACTACCGGTTATTCACTTCTTTTCAATCTCATTTGGAAATTAGAAGAGTGCACTGAGATTTCGGTGGATTGTACTTTAGTAAAAGAAGGAATCAATGGTGGTTCTAGCGTTACGAACGAATTGCGCCAGTACTCTGATCATTGTAGAAGGATGTTGATTCAAGCACGTGGAAATTTGAAGAGAAAGAATGGACTTTTGGTTCTTAGAAATTAGAACTTCGGTCGGAGGAAGTTTGATGAATGTTGTCTATTAAAATGTTTCTGGAGTACTGGCGAAGTTCGATCGTTTACTTGGAGATTCCCTTGTGTTTTGTTCGAATAACGAAGATATGTATTTTCGTAGGTTTACAATGTTGAGTAAAGGGAAGCCGAGATCTATGAACGAAAGTAACGAGCACGTTGTCGCGTTCGCAGGTAAGAAGCTGTACGAGAACAACGGTTACTCAGGACCGAAGCTGGGCAGCGTGTGCAACCTGGCGAATTACAACACCGCGCCACGTGGCTGGGACCAGTCTCTCACGTACTATCGACCGATCAAGTTCGAGAAACCGCAGGAGATCGTCTATTCCGACTTTTAGGCGTAGGGTACATTGTTAAATCGACTTGGGCACTTGGGTATGTTACCGACAGTGTAAATAATTTTCTTTGCCACTTCTCGGTTATTCGTGTCATTTGAAATCGTGTATCCATTACAGAAGAAACACGTGTCGCAAAATGTCGTTGAACAGTTGGAAATTGCGACCGTGTTTGTAGGGTAAACAGAGAATCTTTTTAGTGAACAAAGCGACGCGGTCTCGCGCCTGTCTCTTCGATCGTGTCGCAGATGGTTTTGGATTTACTTTTTCCCCCTCGCCTGCCCGTTCTGTTCATATTTCCCACCTTCAACGATCGTCCACGTCGAACAGCAAGAATTCACTCGGAGATCATGAAATCGTTGAAGTCCCACATTGAGGGCCACGCATCGCATACATAATATATCCGCAAATGTTGAAGCTTCGTTTTGTTTGGTGTACCTACCTCTCTCATTCTGAACATGTTGATTTTTATTTATGCCGCTGACAGTGTTATTGCATTTTACTTTATAAAGTATTAATATTATATTATTATATGAATAAATGTTGTTTTCATAACGTCTGCAGCGTTTCCTCTTTTTTTTCTTTCCGATGTCTACAACGTCAAACGTTCCTAAACGCAACGGAAGTCCGACCGATCGACGTTCACGCGAATCTCGATAATTACGGTGTTATTGTTCGTACGGCGACTATTGAACTCTTCGGAAATTCTTTTATATTCCCTTGTTTTCTTTATTTTGATAAAAGTGTAAATACTATCGACCGGTCTCGCTGTTTTGCCAGCGCGTTTGTTGGTATGCGGTCACACCGATCGTGCTATCTTTTTCTCTTCGACGCAATCGCAGTGACGCCTACGTGGAAAGGCGGTATAAGTAGAGATCCACAGGATGATTGTATCATTAGTTGGTGGTCGACTGCAACCACCGCCGGCCAGCTATGTCACGACTCGAATTCTTCCTTACGTTGCTGCTACTTCCGCTGCTCTTCTCTCACGGGGAAGCGGCTAGCATACGGGAGAGAGCAACCGCCAAGAAATGCGGCTACGAGGTAAGCGAATGAACTATTGCATTGATGCGAAAATTTTCATGTCTTTATGGAGCAAGTAAAAGTATCACTGGATTCATTTTTCTCTTTGAGATCGCAATATCTTTACGATGATGGGATAAATAAGTTTATAGAAAGATAGGAGATGGTAATAGTAACCAATGTAAATTATATAATAGATTAAGTCAATAAAAATATTTGAGAAACTTTTCTTTTTATTTCTTATAAGACAACGTGAAGACTTTTGCGTCAAACCAATAATTAAAGCCGGTTAATTTGATACGATACTTCATTTACTTTTTATCCTTCGGAACTTTTAAGTACTGCAAAAGAAACTATTTGTTGGTTTTTGGTTATTTGAATAATTAATCTATTCGTTTGCATACAAATAAATAAATCACAAACCGCACTTGACCATTTGTTAATTTATTGTTGATACCGAATACTTTACTCGATCAAATACTTGAATCTAAATTGTTTTTTAAACGGTTTTAATAACAAAGGAATCAATTGATTGGAGATAAGTATATCTAATTAAGTATTTATTGACCCCGTGATTGTATCGTTGATAAATCAATTCTTTAAGAAAATATATAACGTTACTTTAAAATTCTTAAGAAGAAGCTTCATTTTCTAGGTAAAGAAATTAAAACCGTTTCTTCGCCGGATATTTTTTATACTATTTCTCTAATAAATCATTCTCCACGTGATTAATTCGCATTTTATTACAGGCATGCCCGGTGACAGATCCGAAAAAGTTAAATATTCATCTAGTAGCTCACACGCATGACGATGTCGGCTGGTTGAAGACTGTAGACCAATATTATTTCGGAAGTATGAGCAATAATATTCTATATAATATTATATAATGTCATTTTTATATTAATCTAACTCGTTGACTGTCGTCAGAATTTTGAGTGTTTTATTGATACCTATTTTATAAAGTCAAAGATAAGCGGTATTAAAATAACTATTAACGATGTGATATAACAGTCCTTGTATTAAACTGTCTAATTATATTATCTAACAATTTTTATGTTACTAAATATATTTAATCGATATTAGTCTTCTTATTGTAATCGTTTCCAAGCAATTCCAAAGCTGCGGCCACCATTATGGCAGTCAACGCGTTAGAATAAAGATAATCGTCACACGAAACGCTGAATTTAATCCTTTCGTTTCTTCTTCTTTAAGGTCGACCACGAATACAAAAAGCGGGCGTGCAATATATTCTGGACAGCGCTATCGAAGCGTTGCTGACGAATCCGGAAAGAAAGTAATCACGAAACTTTAATTACAATGCTTGAACTGGGTCGCACAATTGAAGAATTCACTGTAATCATTTTATTCGCGTCGTATCAGGTTCATGTACGTGGAGACCGCGTTCCTATGGAAGTGGTGGCTGCGTCAAAACAACGAGACCCAGCAAAATGTGAGAAACCTCATAAACGAGGGCCGATTGGAAATAATCGGCGGCGGATGGAGCATGAACGACGAGGCAGTCACCCATTATCATTCTCTCATCGACCAGTACTCTTGGGGTTTCAGGTAAGTTCAAAAACCGAGATTAAATATCAAAAATTTTTTAATATACGTAAGAACACGAGGAAAACTCGAATCCTGAATCATGTACAGAAGATTTCTTGAAATATTAAAAACGTTCCCTATAGGGAGTTAAATTATACGTGGAACTCTTAATTGTTGAAACCGAAGAAAAGATTAGATTAATAAACTTTAGAAGTTACAGATTATTTAGATTATAAAGATTAGATATACTAATAAACCTAGATAGATTAGTGTCTCGTTATGTAAATCGTTAAATGCCAAAGTCCAATGTCACCGATATGACAATGTTCGTTCTCTAAGGATTTAGAGGTTTAATTTGAGTTTTTTTTAATTATTATTCCATGCTGTCACTATTTACTTCGCGAAATTTCTAGACGACTGAAAGACGTTTTCGGAAGCTGCGCGAGGCCGCACATAGGATGGCAAATAGATCCTTTCGGTCACTCCAGGGAGCAAGCGTCGCTTTTCGCGCAATTGGGATTCGACGGCATGTTCTTTGGTCGTCTTGATTACCAAGACAAGGCGAAGAGGCTCAAAGACAAAACTATGGAATTCATCTGGAAGGGCAGTCCAAGTTTAGGTAAAGATTGAAAGAAAAAAGGAAAGAAAATATGACATAAATCCAAAAATTCTTTGCTTCCGAAATATAAACTATTCTTGTTTAACATTCGGCTGAAGGTTCCATCTATATTGAATCTAATTTATGCAGAAGTGTCTTCATGAAAGAAGGAACTTTTCAATTAAGATGACCTTTACATTTCGTTTTTCTTACAGGAGCAGATGCAGACTTGTTTACAGTTGCATTGTACAATAATTATTCACCGCCACCTGGATTCTGTTTCGACGTTTTATGCAACGACGAACCGATAAACGATGACCCTAAGAGTCCGGATTACAACGTCGATGAAAGGGTAAGCGGTGTGCAGAGTTACTATCGATGACAATATGCGAGGTTCGCTTTAGGAACAGATCGAAAATTGAAGAGTGTCTAAAAATATTCCATTTCACTTTGCTTTCGAATCACTGTGCACGGTAAACAGCTTCGAAGATAGCGGTCCCCACTTATAATGATCTTCCACGAGCATCTATATCTCAACATCGAAATCAAAGTTCAATGGAATCGCGAGCCTCTTATCTTTCGCACTATCCAGTTTCATTGTTTGTCTCCTAAAGTAGCTAATACGTATTAATGGCATCTCACACGGTTCAAGGTACTTTTGAATCATATTTCGATGCATTATACATTCATGATAAAACTCATGATAATGCACGAGGAATGACTCAAAGGTTACAAGAGCATTCGTTGACCTTATGCTTCCTTCATTTCCAAATTCTCGATTAGCTGAAAGCCAACTGAAAATTACTAATTGCTACAAATACTTCTCGACTTTCAATCTATTGTATTAACAATAATTTCGCTGGAGAACTTATATTCCTTCGATCGATCGATTCGAAACTGTAATTCTATGTATGCACGGGTCACCGTTAACTGATAGAATGTACCTGCTGTGAAACAGGTGAATAACTTTATGCAATACGTGGTTCAACAAGCCGAAGTGTACCGCACGAATAACGTTATACTAACGATGGGCGGAGATTTCACTTATCAACAAGCGGAAATGTACTTCGTTAATCTGGACAAGTTAATAAGGTACTAACTTTAACGGACGTAGAAATTAGTTGATTCGTTTCGTGGAGGAACTATTGTCGCGTATTGAGTATAGGGATCAAAGGAAGGAAAAGGTCTCGGAAATCCTAATAACCCGCTCGAATCTTTTGGTAAGTAAAGCTCACGCTTCGCTATTGATAGGTCGAAAAGCTTTTGGAGTACGCTCGTCGCCAGGCTTCGTCCTACAGGAGCAATAACGTTATTTTCACGATGGGCGAGGATTTCAATTACCAACACGCAGAGATGTGGTTCACTAACTTAGACAGGCTCATCAGGTAACGCGTATCAGTGGATCCACCGTTTCAACCCTTTGCGGTCGTAATAATTTTATATAAATCAAGTACAACTCGTTTTCGAATTTTAGACAAATTCAATAGTAGATCTTCATTTTACGTACATAATTTTAATAGTAAATATTTTAATTGTTTCATCTTATATGACCAGAACGGTGACAGAGTTCTATAGGGTATAGTTTGTCTAACGACCGCAAAGGGTTAACAATAGGGATCAATGATTTCGTGTCGAGATCAGAACGAAATGTAATCTGATTAAGCATTAGTCAAAATAATATAACGATTGATTCGATAGTTATCGTCAATATAATCGAGATTCAAGTGATTGCAATGAGTTTTGATTAATAATTGTAGAACAATTTGTTAATATGTAGTCGGATTACGTTTTGTTCAGTTCTGGCTAGTTTAAGTGTGTTTTGTGATCGTACTATCTTATGTTTGAGTGTTTGTTAGAATGTTTGATGTTTTTTGTAACTTCGACATTTGTTTGTTTATATTCGATAGATACGTAAGGGAACGAAACAGTTCCGAAGTGAATATATTCTACTCGACACCCTCGTGCTACCTGAAAGCAGTGCACGACGCGAATCTGCAATGGCCGACCAAAACCGATGACTTCTTCCCGTACGCCAGCGATCCTCATTCTTATTGGACTGGCTATTTCTCGTCCAGACCGGCGATCAAATTCTACGAACGAATGGGCAACAATCTTTTACAAGTAAAGATCACGAACTTCAATTTTCCGACGGAACTAATTTTGAATATTTTTGTATTAACGCGCGCGTGTCTTTGGTTGCGATAAGTAGAAACGGTGAACAGTGGACACACACGTTTTCGGTGCATATTCAATTTCCTTTAAGAGATAAAAGTTTCGAGTTCTGTAGAGGTAACAATTTCAATTCTAAATTAGAAAAATATCTTTTTCCTACAAGACTGTAAACTCTTATTCTTCTAAGGAATTTTTATTTCTTTGAAATTCATAGTTCTTTCTGCGAACAAGACGCGTAAAATGATTGTAATGTTAAACGAATAATTGAAGACACATGATTGATCGAAAGATATTTCGCGTAACTTTAGATTAGTAAACAATTAACCGTGCTGGCTGGTTTGACGAATCGTCATGAAGAATTAGATTATTTCCGAGAAGCAATGGGTATAATGCAACACCACGACGCTGTAACTGGAACCGAGAAACAATTAGTTGCTGAAGATTACGCCCGTATATTGTACAACGGTATGGCGAATGGCGCGAATATCAATTCTGCGGCAATAAGGTAATGTAATGTCCGTAACACATTGTAAACATCATTTACATAGACAATTTATCGAAATTTTCTTGTATTATTTTTCTGTTACACAGACAGTTAATGAACCAGGCATCTCCAAACAAATCGCGAACAGCGGCAGAAATGTACTCTTGTATGCAGTTGAACGTCAGTTCTTGTCCATACACTGAGGACAAAGACTCGATACTCACCATTTACAATCCTTTAAGTTACCCGATCGACACACCTGTTCGGATTCCTATTGAAGAAGACACCACTTACAAAGTTGTGAATCTTGTAGGTATGTATCATAATTGTGTTTTAAACAGTAGGTTTACGAGTCGAGCAAGGACAGTCCCTTTTGAATGAAAAATTGTACTTCAGATACAACTCTTGTTACATCCCAGTTTCGTTAGACGATCTTAACTCTCTTAGTTTGTTGGATAATCTAAGAGAACTATCGTTTGTTTCAAGATTCGAGCGAGGTTGTTTCGCAAGTCGTTCCTATCCATAAACCAGTGCAAAATATACCGGGACGAATAAGTAAAGCGAAGAACGAGCTGGTGTTTATCGCTAAAGTACCAGCTATGGGTCATAAATCCTACAAAGTCGTGAAAGGGATAGGGTCCACGCGTCAACAGACGTACGGTGATGTACCGCGTCTTATTGGTAACGAGGTAATTACTTAGATAATTTTTATAACTCTTTGGTTTACCTTCTCATGCATGGTGGGGCATTTTCTAATTCTTCGAAAATTTGAAATTACACATAATATACAGTTTAATATTTTTTGCTTTAAAAGCATGTCCCATAAAGAGTTAATTAACATTGGACTAAGCGAACTGCTTATTGAGTTTTCATAATTCTTCATCACTTTAATCCGCGAGAAGACAAATGGCTCACACGGTAATTGAAATGTACTTTCAGTTTTATAACATATACATTGACCAGAGCGGTCAGGTCGTCGTAAACTGGACCCAGCCGAAGAATATGAATTTCGTTCAGTCGTTCCATTACTATGAAGGTATGGAGGGCAATAATGAGGAATCTCGGAATAGGTCCTCGGGCGCGTACATCTTCAGACCTAAACAAATTTCTGCCAAAAATTTCGGGAAGCCTGCAGAATGGACAGTTCACATAGGTAACATGTGTAAAAATATTATTTCAGAAGATCATAATTACCGTGAGGAGTGTACGTATTTACCATTGCATTTGTTGTCGTTACAGGTCCAGTGGTAGAAGAACTTCACCAGACCATTAACGATTGGGTTAGCCAAGTAATTCGAGTCTATAGGGGCAAAGAATACGTTGAGTTTGATTGGCTGGTTGGACCAATACCTGTTCAGTAAGTTCTTAGTTGATAGACATAGAAGAACATTAAGAAAAATATACTGAAGAAGCTCGACTTATGTATTCTCTTATTTACATATAAACTATATACTTATATAAAATGTTTAATTTCAGAGACAAAATTGGCAAAGAAATCGTCACCAAGTATTCTAGCAGCTTGAAGACTGCAAAAGAGTTTTACACTGACAGCAACGGTCGCGAAATGTTGAAACGGAAGAGGGATTACCGTCCAACGTGGAAGTTACAATTAGAAGAAGAAGTAGCCGGCAACTATTACCCGGTCACTTCTAAAATATCTTTGGTCGATAAGAAGAAATCCTTCAGGCTTAGCGCTCTGACAGACAGGGCTCAAGGTGGTACCAGCATGCAGGATGGAGAGATCGAATTAATGGTAAAATTACCTGGAAAAAAAGAAAATAAATTATGTAATATTTAACTGAATTTGGTCTAACGCAGATTCACAGAAGACTTCTGAAGGATGATGCGTTTGGTGTTGGCGAAGCTCTCAATGAAACTGCGTTTGGTGAAGGTTTAGTGGTCAGAGGATCGCATTACTTAATTGGAGGTAGTATAAAGAATTTGGACGAATACATGTTGAAAGAGAAATCTTTGCAACTGGAAACATTGCTCCGTCCATGGACCCTCGTGACGCCAATCGCAGAGAATGCTACGGTCGAGGAGCTCGTGCCTCTTCCAGAAGTGAGTACATTTCTCGTTGATATCAAACTTTAGAATTCTGAAATAAGAAACAGCAACGTTTGTATATAATCTTAAGAAATCTACAGCAGCTTGATTTTTTGTTTCTTTTCAGGCATCTGGTCTGGCCAAAGCTTTGCCACGAAATGTACATATTTTAACTTTAGAGCCCTGGACCTACAATATTATTTTACTGAGATTAGAACACATTTTCGAAGTCGGTGAATCCGAGACTCTGTCTCAACCTGTGGAAGTTAATCTTCGGGTTTGTTCTTCTTAACAAATATTTATTTTATTTACCGTTTTACACCCTGTCTGTCTTTACTATTTTTATTATGTATTCAATCCATTATTATCGTTACCTTCTTTTTTATTAGGACGTATTCACGAATTACAATATAGTTACCGTCGAGGAGACGTCGTTAGGTGCTAATCAATGGAAAGCAGATATGAACCGTCTGAAATGGCAAGCCGAGACGAACGATGTGCTTCAATCAAGAGACGCCACATCCAATACAGTTCAAGTTGAAGACGATGCTATAAATATTACTTTGAAGCCAATGGAGATAAGGACATTCCTGATTACGATGCTACCGCGCAAACTTTAGTTTAACAAATTTTCACGAATCCATTTTCTTATAAAATGGATGATTGAATTCGAGAACAGCTTTGGAGAGAACTATTGTAGATAAAAAATTATGTATGAGAAAATATCACAGAAATAAAGGAGGCCAAGGACTTTTTAAGACGGTTTTAAAACCTATGTTAAATACACATATACCACTTCCCATAAATTTCTTTTGTATCGTATAAACGACAGTCGACCTCCTATCGTTAAGTAATAACAATTTATGACTTCTTCTATTTGCATGAAGTTGAACACTCGATAAAAAATACTGTTCACACGTGAGCAATTGATTGTCAATCTCGTTGACAGCCTGCAAAATCTCTAACCTTTGAAAATGTGAAATTCCCATTCTAAAATTCCTATGTTTCATTAATTTCTCGCGATGACATTTCAGGATAATAAATGTTTTATTTCGTCGACGCGAAGACAAATCAAAGAAGCCGTACTCAACAGCCTGCGATTAATTCCTCGTCAAAGTAAATGTTTTATATCAGAATAACAAACATTTCATAATTGAACGAATATCGCAGACAAGAAGTATCTTCTTTCATTCAAGACGTTAAAGAGTATCGAATAATTAATGAAATTAATAAAAAAAAATAAATCAATTCCGATTAATGCATTTCTTAATTATCTCGTGGTAGATGACATCAGAAGAAGACGCATGGGCTCAGACACGAATCACGGTAACACCAGAAGACGATGCGACAATCAGAGAGATCGCGAAGTCAACGGTTTTGTCCTCAGCACCGGATATACCCTTAATTCTTGACGACAAAATCATATACAGGCGATCTTTCAGTCGTATTCAGTTCCCGGAGGCTAAAGAATTGAAGGACTCAACTACGGAGCTCAAGAGACTGGACATTTTGGAGCCATTCATACCGAAACAGGACGCAGGAAATCAAACGTACTTGCAAGGAACACGGATCGTTCGTATCTCCGCCGAATACAAGGATGAAGCTACGCAAACAGTGTATATGACCTCACCATGTCCACCTCTAACATATTTCAAGGATATCCTGAGTACGTGATCTCCTAATTATTCAGGGAACGTTGCGAATTATGTGTGTCAATGTCTAGTGCCTCCAAAAAAGGAATGGGTGCTACAAAGTTCATTTTTTAGCGAAAATTGATATTTCTATCATGGTGGTTCTCTGCTTTGTCTCTGACTTTAAATATTCGAAGTTAAGAGTCTACTTAGAATCCAGAAAAAAGTAGACTGAATAAAAGTGGAAGTGTATGAAACTTGGATTAGAGGCACTTGATATTCGTTACTTAAATATTAATACTGATAATGTTATTTAAACGTTGAAAATTAGGTTTACATTTCAAGACGTTAATAATGTTGCGCTTTAATGAAAATAATGAATTTAGCGTCGATGGATGAAGTTCCGATGCCGACACAGAAGAGCAGCGCAGCGACGGGTACTATAATTAGCTTTCCCCCCGATGCATTGCAGAACACTGTAACGCAACAACTGTCCACAAACATCCCGGAGAAAGAACTTGAAGAATTCGTATCCGACTTTAGCAATGAGGAAAATGCTAGTTCGGAGATTCTCGATATTTTGCACTTCTTGTTGGCGCGAGCGTTTTGGATAATTGATCCGTCTAGCCAGAAAAAAGGAGAGACAACCGAGAAAGAAACCCAAACGTCCGTCAAGTTCAATTATCAAACAAACACGCTTGTCAACGACAGCGAAACGCAAACGGAATTGACTTGCGAGCCGAAAAAATCGAACACGATGCTTCTGTCGAATTACTGGGAAACTAAGAATATAATTGCAAACTGCTTAGAGGACTGTCTGTGCAAGGGAATCGAAAATAAAATATTCGTGGACGAAATAATTAACGAGATCATCGATAAATGCATCAAAAGAATTAAATACCCTATGAAAGATCAGACTATGCAAACTATAGTTACATACAGGGCGCACGGAGAAAGAGAGGAAGACATATTGCGGAAGCTGAGGCGCGGTATTGTTGTAGATCCCATGGAGGCATCGATTGTAGTAGTTCCTTTGATGAATGATTTATTGCAAACTGTTTCTGACACCGTATCGAAAAATGCACCAATGATAGCCAAGTATATTGTAGAGATTGTACTGCGGAGAACGATGACCATAGTCGCTAAACTTATGGAGCTTCAAAGGGAAACACAACGTTAGTGGCATTTTCTGTTTGTATCAGTAGAAATAACAAGCAATGGCTAGACTCATTAATATTGACCGGCAGTACTATACAAACTTTTATAATTAATTTTATTACGCAGCAAAGCCGATAGACCACAAGTTGGCGCAAAGAAGAAAAAAGATCCTTGATTCAATGCTGCAAAAAGAAACGGAAACTGTTTACACTCAGACAAACATAGGCGGAGTTTCCGAAATTCAGAAAGTGAAGGATAAGGAGGTCGTGTGCTCCATTTGTCGAAGACCATCTGTTTGTCAGTGGTGTGCAGACAGCGAAGGAGATGTTTCTCGGGAAGACACGAAAATTCTTCGTACAGAAGACATACTGCTTGCGTACAAACCCTGTTACATTATTACGACAACTTCGGAGAAGGAGAAGAGTCTGCAATTGTCTTATCAACCAGTGAAGAAGATCCATCAACCATTAAAGCCTTCTGTAAACATTTCAGATGACTCTACCCACGAGTCTGGAGAAACGATCAACGTATTTCCAGAAGCTGAAATTATGCCACAAGGTAAATATTGGCTTGAGGCAATAAATATTTCTTAGAGGATATTTATGTAATTGGTACATTACAGAATCCATTAATGAATGGTCGTACGTTCTTGATACCACCTTAATGAAACCGTTGTCGATAGGAGGTAAAGTTTTAATTCAGCATAGCCATATCATGCTTGTAATGGAGCGATATGAGTAATACTTGTTACCTGCAATGATGTCGCTGTATAAGGAACGTTATATTAACATTTTACAGAGACCATCAGCACTTCAAGTCGGACAATAAATTCTTCAGACAAAATGAATTCATGCATTACTTCAAAAGTCGTACCTAGGGAAACCGCAAACGCTTTGGAAATACTAAAAAATACATTCTGCAATCAAGAAACTTGCATAACATCTTCGCGTAAAAATTTTGGTGATTGTTATTTACCTAGGAGAAGGATAGCTACATGTATAAAGTCAACATGTGAAGCGTGTTTAAATAGAAGCAGCAGTACTAATCGAATATATACATTAGATACTTGTAGCATAGAGCAAGCTTGTAAACCTCCTTCAAAATTGCATTTACCTATGGCAAGTATTTGCAAAAGAGGTACTTCTTCACAGATTTACATGAAATCGTATGACAACAGCTTTAAAGTTATTCCTGTAAACCTGTCACAGATTTCTAACACTCAGAAAGTATTAAAGTAAATTATATTTGCTTCTTAACATTTAATAACAAAGAAAAAACAAATGCATGTACATATTACGTGTCATACGTTGTGTATTTATAAATACATATCACAATGTAAACATGACTTTAACTATTTAATTCAAAGTTGCGATTTATAAAGAGTTTATAAATAAAATAACATTTATGTAGTAGCAAAAGATAAGTGCGGTTACTGCACTTTATGAGTTCAAATCACACACGTTCTTACAGTAGTAATGGTAAGAAATTAACATTGCATTCATTTATTAAGCGATCTGCAGTGTAATGTCACTATTGCAGACATGTAAGCCGCGTCACAACATTTTTGTTCGTCGTCTTCATACGCACACAATTCAAAGGCGTTGCAAGTAATTTATTGGCAGTGCTAAGACATTGACGTCAAGCCACCGTGACCTACATTGATTCTATTTAAATGTACGATGTGTGATTTGGCACAAAACCAAGAAATGTAGTTGAGAGTATTTATCATACCATTACATGTTATCACTATTAAATATTGTAATAAATAATGCAGACAGTTTTAAGTGTTGTACAAAGAAATTTACTAACAAAATGCTAAAGTACTGGAATTATTCATTTCGACCAATACTCCTTTTGTTATTCATACTTATCTAATATATATTCAAAACCAAATTAAATACAAGTATTATTATCTAAATTTAATATTTCTATCGTTAATTGAAAGTAGTTTTTCGGTTTAAATGACTTATAATCACTCTCTTTCTAGAAAAGTTAATTGACCATCAAAATTAATGATAATGATACTTTAATCTTTGATGCAATTGTCGATTCACAAATGCTTAGTTATTATACACTCTAAAATATAATAGAGACATATGAGTGTATTCATTATTATATTTAAGAAAATGTATATTTCTTATTATTGCATTTTATTTATCTCTGAAAGTGTAAACGTATAAAACCGTGTAAAATCATTCTCAAAAATAAATATCGTATTCTCAGTTTTGAAAATTCTATGGAAAAATACGGGAAATACTAAGATCTGGGCGCACATTTGTTACAACAAAAACTCATACAGACTGTATATATTGAAAATATCGAAAATTTTGATATAGATGGAACCTTTGTATGAAAAATGAGTGTACAAATTCCAAAAAAACCTTTCTTTAAATTCCAAAATAAAACTTATCTTCTACTTCAATAAATTAACGAATATATGAAAAATAAAATTATATAATCATCTCAAAAATAGCTTACCAGTTACGTGCGACTTATAAAACTCGTTTAATTTACATGCTGTAGTAAAGAAGTAAAAAATATTCATTGATACTCTTCAAACAGATGCTTCAGTTTAAGTAGAAGATTTATAGTTCGTATCCAACATCTATTAGGTTATTTAAAATTTATCTGAGATTATAGCCGTTCATTTTCACTTTCATCCTCTGTCTGCAATTCTTTAATAGGTATTTCAGTCATCTGTTTTTCTTCCTCGGAAAGATTCGTTACTTTCGGTTCAGTCACATCATTCCACGGCTGTATGTCAGCTGAACCAAAGAGCCAGAAAAATACCGTAGCAGATGTAAATACTGCTGCTGAGATCCAAAACATAATACGCCATTCTTCTACTCCATTCTATTAGAATAATGTAAAATTAATTTAATAATTTCATTATGTAAATCTTCTGTATTTTTTGAATATATTAATGCCACTATAAGTAGGACTAACTCGTACCCTTTCATTCGTCAATGCTCCAATAATAGGGGGGATAATAAACCCAGGGAAGCTACCAATAGTGTTCATGATTCCATATAGAGAACCAGCAAAATTTGGTGCAAGATCTTGATGGTTTTGTAAACTTGTCTGACATGCAGCGCCGTTAAATGTCAATGCTACTATTAACATAACAATTGCAGTTACTGAATCGCAGCCAGCATACGTCATTATAACTAAAGCAACTGCTGGACCCATGTGTGCTATTAAAAAATATGATTATTTACACAAGACAGAAATTTTTTCTCATGCTATTTATTACATTAATCGTTACTAAAATTTGCTTACAGAAGATCATAAATATTTTTCGAATCCACACTAATGACAGGAAATTTCTTCTTCGTACATAATCGCCAGCTGCGGCGAATAATACTCCAGCACCGAGTCTAGCTATATAGGGTAAACCCGTAAGCGATCCTCCCTAGACATCACGCAATGAAATTTTATATTATGATTCATCAAATAACAGATTCTATAACTGATTAATAATACAATACCGATTTCATGTCAAAGCCAAGAACTTCTAAGGTGTATTTGGGCCCATTGGTGGCTATAAAATAGATTCCCCACATATTAGCAAAGTGGGCCCATAATAAAACCAAAAACGGTACGGAAGTCAATGCAGCAACTGCAGGCAATTTTTTCTGCAATTTTGCAAAATAAATATTACAAAGTAACCTACATGATATAAACCGTTTCCCAATTTCCAATCATCTATTTACCTTTTCTTTAGAAACGGTCGTTCCTATCTGTTCCCTAATGTAATTTCTTTCTTTCTCTGTCATCCCTGGATGAAGATCTGGTGTATCATATATCAAATAGACCCATAAGGCATAGAAAATCAGGATAAGCCCACTTGTGACATAATACGCAGCTTTCCAACCAAGGGCACTGATTATTTGACCGCATAAAGCAAATGTTACCACTGTTCCAAATGGTCCACCTTAAAATAATATATAAGTTTTAATATCTTCACAAATAATCTGTTGATATACATTTCATGAGTATGTACCTTGCATTGTCCACACAAACATGCCTTTCTCACTGGGAGGAACCCACCTTGCAATCATTGCATGAAGGGCAGGGTAAACAGCCCCCTAAAAATATACTTCATTTTAATGAAAAAAGAGATATGGAACACCATGTACAAAAATATAATACAATTTATGAAACTACTGTATTAACATTGTAAATAGACAATTTTCTTCATTTAAAGTCTTTTAAATGAGAGTGATGATAAAGTCATGGAAGTTGAAAGTTTATTTCCACCCTTCAGCTTTATAAATAAAGGATGGTTTCGCGAAAAACTAATAGGAATAATTTGTTAATGGAAATAGAATTGACATGCATCACTTTTATATGTAACCCTCTGAAATAGGTATGCATTGAATGAACCTGTAGTAGGTAAGGCTGTGTATTTGCAATGTATGTATGTATAAAACTACAGAGATATTTAAATATGTTTCAAGGAAACAATCGTAAAACAATTTGTAAAAAAAAAAGAAATATTGTGTGGTAGAAAACTTACTCCAAAGAAGCCCATCAGAAAACGGAGTGCAAACACAAAACCATAATGAAGACCAGAAGCCCAAGGCATCAAAAGGTTTAATACTGCGGGTATTAGTGTCGCAAATCTATATTAGCATACAGTTTAATAATTGGTTAAAATTGATGTAAATGTGTAGGTATATGCATATGTATATATTGTAATTATCAGGACGGAAAGTGAAATCGATTCGGATTAAAAGAAAGAATCATTTCGATTACAAATTTCAGATAATGATCCCTACAATGACAACTGAACATTATCTTTCGTAATAGGACCCTGTGTAAATGGTCCTGATAATCATTTAATTAAAAGTTACAATTAAACAATATTACACTTACGCTACAACTTTAGAACCCCCATACTTTTCGGCTAAAAGCCCAGCAGGAACACTCGCCGGCAGTACTCCATAAAAATAACCGGAAAGCAATAGACCTTGTACATGTTGGTTCCATTCGAATCTTTCCCCATACTAAAAGGAGTATTGTAACATATTATACAATAGAAAAATATTAAGAAACTGTAAAATATTAGCTAATAACAGTTTGGCTACAAAGTTCATCCATTATTTCTTATCTCTCTTAATGTTTACAAACATTAATATTAATCATCAGCGACAAGTAGAACGAATTCATTTGAAAATAATTTCCATTTTTAACTTACATTTTTGAGTTCTGCAGTTTTGTGAGTAACATTACCCAATGGAACAGCACTACACGCTGGACCACTATCACCATCCTTACTCGTTGTATTCACCATGGCAACAATAGTGATTGATAAATTTGTGCGTATCATGTATGAGAACATACATGCTAGAAACATCATTGCCCCCAAAATTCCTCTTTTGGGTATTTTGTCTGCAACGCACGCAATACGAAGAACGCATGTTACTTCTTAAGTTTCAACGGACGTAAAAGAAAGAGTCTTGCATATTTGTATGCAAAATATTTAATTAACGATGTATTAAACATTCTTTTTACAGCTTATTGTTTGGAAGGCTACTTGTTCCCTTTTGTACTAAGAGATCATCATATGAGAAGCATTAGCAACCGGTTGTTTATCTTCCCGATAAGCATACGATGGAAGTTAATGCGTGTTTACCTATTACAAACAGGTCTGATAATGAAAATCAATGGGTTGGGAGGTTGAATAATATTCACGCAGACACTCCTACGGCAAACAACTTGTAATGACCCACTTATAAGCACTTACAATAATATCGTTTATCGATAAAATACACTCGTGCTTTTCTGAACTTAAGAAGAATTTCGTTTTAATCTTCGATATTAATCAGTCATCCAGCGGATCTTCAAAGCAGACAGCGGAAGATGAAAACAACATGTTTTCGATCCGTCATGTCGCGTCCTTTTCAAAAAAGTACAAAAGCACACGAGTTCGAACATGTTGCGCGCCAATTACTGTAGATTGTCATTATCCATCGAGCGTTCGGAGTATACACTTCAACGTAGTTGAAACGTTTCTAACGTGGTTGAATCGTTTGGAAGGATATTTACACTAATAATTTGTTTATTCGTTAGCATTATTTTACTATTATACTTTTTAATTTCCATTGTACAATTGTTATATACAAAAAGGAAATTTACCAAGAAGCCAGTAACTTTTCATACTAGAGCATCATCTTAAATTTTCTCTGATTTATCTCCATTATCGGTAGCATCAATCTCGTGAAAATCTGTGTTACCGATAAGAGAAAGAATTAAACAGATACCCGCGCATCCTCACTGCTAGGTCTACCATTGCACACGAAAGTGTTTGAATAAGCTACTGAGATATGTCCACTTTGACGTTTAAAGTAGATCTAAAAATTCAACGACGATCTAATTAATTGTCCAGTAAAAAAAGGATCTTACAATCTTCATACATCACTGAATGGTATTATTTGTTGTGGGCAACCTCGATGAACTTGACAACGGCTTGATGTCTCAATGAGGCAAATGATCCCTCCACAATAACATCTACATTGAACCGAATTAAGTCTATCATTCGCAATAATGTTGCAATTTAAAGAGTTGGCAAAAATTGAAATGTAAAATGAGAGCAATGGGAGTTGTGGTATCTTCAATATGAGTACAATTGGCGTCCCTAAAAATAAAAGGTGATGCGCGATCGATCCGCAAATGCGGGACAAGATCGCAGTAAACTGCAGAAGACCTTTCGAACCTTCCGAATCAGGTTCAATCATGTAACGACCCATTTATTAACGATACGTTACTGCAACGTCATTTTTCTACGATTCGAAATCTCGAGAATCTTTTAACCCCCTTTGTATACACGAGATAGAAATTCATGAAAAAAATAAATATTGGCCATTTTTTATAGCTTCAATTTCCGTGAAATTCGATTTCAAACGATTGTGCAATCGAGGTTTAAGAATTCTGCGCAATACGGGACTTTTAAAACAGCGAAGAGGCACTGGTATATTATTTACAATAGTATAATAAAAAAAAAAGGAAAGACATCATACGCATCGTACTAAATACCTACATTTAACTTTTATGATACCGGTAATATATGTACAGTTTAAATTGGCCTGAACTCAACCTTCAAGACTGATTCATATTATCGACGGATTCTTCAAAGGAATTCCCCCGAGCTACGAAAACAGACAACTCGGGTATCTCTGTACAACGTTCATTGAATACCATTTCCACGAACGACCGATGTACAGACTCAAGGATACTGGTGATCAGTCTCGAACCATGAGAGTGTTAATTACAAGTGTTATATAAAAAAGAGTAATAATTCTCGGTTATCTGAAGTAAAGTTACCAAACCCATACGTACCGTTGACCTTTCGGAAGAGTGCCATTTTGCTTTGGCGCCGTGCAGAATTGACCGTTTCAAATTTCTATTGCCGTGGGACTGCGTTTCGATCCTTCGAGCATCAAACTGGCTGCACAAACAAACTCTCCAGGGTTGTCAGGAGGATGCAGTTCGGAATTTAATAAACCGTAATCTGTATTTTAATCGTCCGTTGTATTACGTCATGCTTTCGCAGTGTCTAATAGCGATCGCACGGGCATTACTTTATTTTGCCGTCTAATCAACGTAGCGATCGTCTTTGTAATTCCGTATATAATATGTACTAGAATGCTGAAAAAGACGGAGGTACGCCGCTATAACCGAAATCTATATCTAATCTTCGACGATGAGTTGAGTTATTCAGGCTTACGCAATGTCAACGTTTGAAACACAGTTGCAGGAAAAAAAATATTCATCTACCAGTCTTTCTCATTTCCGATTCACGACAGGGTTTACGCAAATCTGGGTTAAATGAAAAATTATATGTATCAAGCGGAACCATCATGAGGAAGCTTGTGATATAAATGCTGGGAACAATATTGACAGTCGAAAGTAAAAGTCAACGGTGCATGAATAGTTTTTTTTATTTCTTATACTGGTTTATGTCTGAGAGATAAAACGTGATGTCTCAGACACACGGCTACTATGACGATAAGAAATGCCGTAATGTGCAATTTAAGCATTAATTTATCAATTGAAGTCACCGATAATATCGATGCAATATTCGGTGTTTCGACGGACGATAACGATGTCCGTGGTATTCTGCGCGTGTGGCTCTATCGATTTTTTTTACTAGTCAGAATGAGTAAACATTCGTTAACTGGCTTATTATTAACGTAAATAATTCGACAGAAATTGTGCACTACAAATATATAAATATAAAAATGTTTTATATGTATGTGTCAATATAAAAACAAATCACACGCTTTCTTCATGTAAGATACGTATATATTATAATAAATTACGTATTATCACTTGTCATCATTTTATTGCTTTGGATTACATATGATTAAAAAATGATTGAACGTTTTGCTGACTTAAAATCGGATAAGCGATTAAATGAATATGTATTAAGTAAATATTGAAAACATGAACCAACTATCCATTTCCTTTCATATTGCATATCGGTTATATTAAACCCTAATTATCAGATTTAAGCAAATAAAAAGATTTAAATAACATTTGAGTGTATGTTTAAAATATTAATACACTACGATGCGATTAATTCAATAAATAAATATTATTTTTTCGTGAACAGGAAGTAATTAGTAAGCAGGAAGTATAGAACGGAAGTAGTAGTTTCATATGCCATACAGAAATTTATATTTATTTATGCAATACTGTTTGAAACAAATTTAAAACTATTAGATTAATTTTCTACTATGAATTTATAAATAATTAAAAATATCTACACATTTTTTAAAATGTCGTAATTACTGAAACTGATATTAACAAATACTAAAATAAAAATCAACATTAGTATCCAGTATAATTTATATGTAAGCATGATTCATGATCAGACTAACCTCTTAAACGTAGGCACCTTTATCATTGAGTATTAAAGGAAGAAATTTCCTTGCCAATTTATCCTGTTTGCTAGTACTTGCAAAAATAAATTGCTGATGAGAAAAATATCTTCGATGTTGCTGCAGGAAATTGTACACTTTTTATTTAATTTGCCCACGTGTATATTTGATATATTTAACACTGAGAAACATGATATTAATCTTTATTTCACTAATGCTGTCGTATCACATATTAAATGTAACAAAACTTTATATACAAAATCATCAGTCGTACACACGCTACGCACAATTATGACTGAATTTCAGTCACTGAACACTACCGACTTTTTTTAGTCTTCGGCTCGCGCTTTTTTCCCCTTCCACCATCACCTGTTGAGTGTGTATGCTGTATATATGTGAACATCAATACCCACACGAAGCAGCTGCTTATTTACTAATACAAATTTGATGTTATTTGATTTGTAATTAGTCTATAAAATTTAACAAATGTCCAAATATAAATTCAATATAAATTTACGTACTATTAATTATTAGTATGTAATATTAACAAGTGTTTACAAAGTTACCTGTTGTTCCATGATATTTTGGTGATTCACTGCAACAAAGTACTTATTAATTAATTAACAATGTTTAATAATAAATATTCAGAATCAGAGATATAAGGTCTTTATTTTCCCTTAACATTAATCAAAAGTTTGGGATACCATAAAGAAGTATTTATATCATTATGCATGAACAAATTTATTTAAATTTAATTTTTATAAATTAATTTTGTAATTATAAATCAAATTATTATTCTTAATATTACTAGGATTTACAAAATTCTATAAGTACATATACACTACATATAATGTTTCTTACATTTACATTTAGGATGTATTATTTTATAAAATCACCTCCAAGTATGCAAGAAAATAATAGCATACTAATCTTAACGTATAAAATGTGATAAATACGTCGCAAATGCCTTACACTGTTGTATGATTACAATAAAACAATTACTTTAAGAATTAGAAATAATACTATTTTACCATTTATTTTATAATGTTACTCAAAACACAGAACTTTACATATAAATTAATATATAGTAATGTCTGTTTGCAATTTTAATGCTAATAGACCATATGAGCTAAATTTAAAGTCCTAAATGTTTTGAGCAGTATCTATGAAATTATTCAAAGAAATGATTAAAAATGCCAAAGTACAGATACTTTTATGCCATATAGTATGATAGCCATGTATGCTGAAGGATGCATTTATTCATAACAAACAGCGCCAATTTCTATGTAAAAACTTTGATCTGGTTTTCCAATGTCTCGTAGAGCAATATCTATTATAGGCAATCTTACAGGTTTGTCAGTTTCATATGAGATTATAGTTTTGCCCCATTCTGCACCACGTAACTGTAGCAAATAATAACACGTATTCAGTACAAGTTACATAAAAATATATGCAATGCTAAAGCATCATTATTTAAAATTTATACTTGAAGACATACCTGACACTCATCTTTTATCATTTCATATCTAAGACGTTGATTTCCACGTGGTGTTAATTCAACATCATTCCATGTCAATAGTTTCATACCTTTTCTGTATGTTTTTCTTTCAGAATCAAAATATGCCACACTATTTTTACAATTATATGTTATATTTTGATAAGCGTTCTTTGATAACAATTGTAGGAAGCCAACTTGATTGCTATCTGATTTATAAGTAATCTATGGAAGAAAAAATACATGTCAGAACGTAAAAGGCAGTAATTCAAATATGAGTTATACAAACCTTCATTCCATTCTCAATTTCACTTAACCAAGTTTCTTGTTGATCAGTAATGTATTTCATTTCTGGTGAACGTACTGGATTTGGTAACAAGCATGTCGCACGTTTTTTAGCATCACAATATACTAAAATAGCATCCCTAGAATCACCTTCATTTGGATCTATCCAATACTCTCCTAGAATAACCATATGTTTAAAATATGGAGTATTGTGTTTCTTACTTATATAAATTGATCAAATTGTTTAAACTGACCAGAAGGCTTGTCGGGATAAGCAACGTAAAGGTCCCTACATGTTTTCGCAGGCGAATTTTTGTCACCATCTGGTTTTATATATTTTTTGAAAGATAAGGTCAATTGTTTGTATGCTTTTAATATAAATTCTCGTCTTTCTTCTTCTGACATTTCTTGAGTAAATATCCTAGGAGGTTCATCACCAATCAGTGGGTCCGGACCTTTAGTTTGACCTTGCCCTACGCATATAAAACAAAAATACATTTAAGCCATTTTGATAATAATAACAAATACTACATACTGCTACTATAATCCAATTAACGTGCACTATTAACGAAACTATAAATTCACCTAAAAGTGCAGCTAACGAAGCAGCATCGTACCCTAATCCAAGTTCACCAGGTGGACCTGGAGGTCCTGGAGGACCAGGCGGACCTGGTAGTCCATGACGACCTTCATCACCAGAAGGTCCCTTTGATCCAGGATTACCCGTTAATCCAATTGGTCCAGGACTACCATCTCTACCAGGACTACCCCTGATTCCAGGTTCTCCATCTTTACCAGGTAGTCCAGGTGGTCCGGGAATACCTTTCTCTCCTGGTGGACCAACGGATCCAGGTAAACCTTGCAAACCTGTAAACCCTCTATGTCCTTTGGCACCTTTCAAGCCTTCCTCTCCGCGATCACCTTTCGGACCTTCTAATCCTATAGGTCCAGGTTTTCCTCTAGGTCCCTAAAATGGAAGTAAATTATAGTTAGTATTACAATAGACTGTATTAAAAGAATAAATTATAAACCGTACTTGTTGTCCTTCTACACCCTGCGGACCAGCTTCTCCTTTTGAACCTCTTTCTCCAACTGCCCCTGGTGGTCCTGCTTGGCCAGGAGGTCCCTTATTAAAGAAATCGTGGATATGTTAGCACATTAGCATTTAAAACTCATTAAACTGTATAGTTCAGAGAGCTTTAAAAATGGTTTTCCCTCACCGGTAAACCTGCAGGACCAGGTAATCCCTGTGGTCCAACAATTCCAGGTGGTCCTTTATCTCCAGGACGACCAGATATTCCAGGAGGTCCTGGTTTACCAGTAGGTCCTTCTACTCCAATTTCTCCGGGAGGTCCTGCTGGGCCGATTGGTCCTATTAAACCAGGAGGTCCTGGTGGACCTTCTGCTCCTGGTTTTCCGGGTATTCCAGATTCACCCTACCGTAAGTCACAAATGATGTAAGAATTAATATTCATTACAATGTATATTTTTCAATTATTGTACATGGATATTTAGAAGGTAGACTTTTAATTAACTTACAGTTGCACCTCGTAATCCTCTAGCACCTACTGGTCCAGAAGGTCCTGGTAATCCTGGTGTACCTCTTTCACCAGGTGTACCTTGAGGTCCTTGAGGTCCAGGTGAACCTGGTGGTCCTTGAGATCCACTTTCGCCTTTGTTTCCGTCTGCTCCGGGTAAACCGGGGATTCCAATTGGACCAGGACTTCCAGGTCGTCCTGTTTCTCCAGCAGTACCCTTATTACCTGGTAGTCCAGGAGGACCTAGTGGTCCAACTGCACCTGGTGGTCCCTACAAATGTTTTCGTCGATATTTCTTCCTTACATTCTACACAAAAAAAAACTAATAGAAAAATGAAAATCACAGCTGCTCCAACTACTCCTGGTATCCCAGGTGGTCCCATAATGCCAGGTTCTCCTCGAAGACCTGGTTCACCTCTCACTCCTTTAGCTCCCGTCAGTCCAATTAAGCCGGGTGGTCCCATTTCACCAGGAGTTCCTGTGCGTGAAGTAATGTATGGTCATGAGGCAGGAAAGAATACTTTGCAAAGTAATACGTTCGCTATTTAGATATTTAATCTAGAATTGTGAACAGTATACGTGATATATTTATATTACCTGGAAGACCTGAATTTCCTTGATCTCCTTTTAAACCCGGATAACCTCGATCACCTTTTAATCCCGGTAAACCAACAAGTCCTTGTGGTCCTGGAAATCCTTGAGATCCTTGCAAACCTTGTGGTCCTCTTTCCCCTGGGCTACCAGGAGCTCCAACTTCTCCTGGAGAACCAGGTAAACCAGGATCTCCTCGTTCAGCTGGTTCACCTGGGGGGCCTGGTGGGCCAACTAAACCTTGTGGTCCACGTTCTCCAATGCGTCCTGTAAAAAAGTATTACAATATTTAGTAACACCGTTGAGTAAAATATACAGTTTTCACAATACGACCTGATGGTCCCTCGGGACCGGATGGGCCAATGGATCCTCTTTCTCCTTTTGGGCCTGATTCTCCAGGAACGCCCCGCAATCCCGGCAAACCTAAAAGTCCAGACGGACCAGGGGTTCCTCTATCTCCCTTTTCACCTGGTGATCCCTAAAACCCATAAGATTCAGAAGATATATTCTAATAATTATTATGTTTAAAGAACGAACAATTTGAAAAAAATACACGGAGAAAACCTTACAGGAGGTCCATCAAGTCCTTGTGATCCTCGTTCACCTTTTGGTCCTACAGGTCCTGGCACACCTGCTTGCCCTCTTTCCCCCGGAAATCCGCGCTCACCTCTGTTACCAGGTATACCAATTAGACCTGGCGGTCCTTGTACACCCGGTTCTCCATCCTTGCCTGGTGTACCTGGGTTACCAATCGCACCTGGAAAACCCTAATTATATCATATTAGTTAAAAACTGTTATAATTTCTTACGTTTATAAAATTGATATTTGAAGCATACCTGGAAACCTCTAGCACCAGGTACACCAGGAGGACCTCGTTCACCATCTGCTCCTGATGGACCAGGTGAACCTTGTGGACCAGGTGCTCCTTCCTTTCCTGTATCGCCTCTAGGACCAGGTGGTCCAGGATTTCCTGGTTCTCCGGCTTTGCCTGCTTCACCCTTTTGCAAACATAATTTATATAAAACATGATTTCTATATGTTTTAATTATAAAAAGATTGAAACTACTAATACCGGGTATCCTTTCTCTCCTGGCAGACCTATTGGTCCAGGTAAACCTTGTATACCAGTTGGGCCTTGTTCACCAGGTCTTCCATCAGCACCTTGAATTCCTCTATCCCCTGGATTCCCAGGCTTCCCTGGGGCACCAGGACGGCCCATGATCCCACGAGTTCCCTGTAAAATTATGTTGAATTTTTTACTTTCTATTGTCAAGAAATATATTTTATCTATTAAATAATTGCTTGATTTTCAAAATAATAGCATTTCGATTTTGTATACAATATATTTAATAGTTACCTGTAATCCGGCTGGTCCCGGACGACCGGGATCTCCTGTACTACCTTTAGGTCCTGGTAAACCAGACATCCCGCGATCTCCAGATTGACCTAAATAACATATTAAATAGATTAATAAAAATATCAATTATAAATGTGATAATGTTCTAACAATAAAACAAAAGGCAATTTACCTTTAGGTCCCATAGGTCCATCTGGTCCAGAAAGGCCAGGTGCTCCAGGACTGCCACGTTCTCCAGGGGGACCCGATGCACCACTTGGACCACGCATTCCTCGTTTCCCTCTTTTTCCTTCGTTTCCAGGAGGACCAGGCAAACCACGTGGCCCTGGTGTACCTGAATCACCTTTAGATCCACTGTCACCCTTGAATCCTCTTTCACCCGAAAGTCCCTAAGCGCAGTAATGGTGTAACAATGCTTATAGCATCTGATTTTATCTCATGAAATTATAATTTTTAAACATAGCATGAAAAATTACCGGCATTCCTTTCATTCCAGGCGTACCAGGATTGCCAGGTATTCCTGGTTGTCCTCGAGCTCCCGGGAAACCTGGCGTGCCGACCAAACCAGGCGATCCAACACTTCCTTTATCTCCAGGTATACCATCTTTCCCCTGTGGCCCTTGTGGTCCTGATTCGCCAGGCTGTCCTGGACGACCGGTTTCCCCTAGAAAACACAGGAAATAAACATTAGTAAAATGAATATCCTTATGAAAAAAGAAAATAGTATTGATAAAAATGTAAATATACCTCGCGGGCCTTGTAACCCTTGACTTCCTTTCGGTCCTTGAGCTCCTTGATCTCCTTTCATACCAGGACTACCTGGATAACCGGGTGGACCTGACTTACCTACCGCACCCTGCAACGAAATTGCAATAATAATCACCGGAAATGTGCGTGATTCAATGTTAACTTACAGGTTGTCCAGGAGGCCCAGGAATTCCGTCTACTCCTCTAATTCCTGGTGGTCCTGATGGGCCTTCTCTGCCTCGTTCACCACGTGGACCCGCGGGACCCTATACAAGTAACAACATTTTTACTAGAACATTGATTTATGAATATTTATACAAACACTAATATTGGATATTTGCCGTTGGACCCATCGGACCCATAGGACCAGGTGCACCTAGAGATCCCTTTTCTCCTGACACACCCTGTTCTCCTTTTGCTCCGTCTAGTCCAGGAAATCCACGATGTCCTTTAGCTCCAGGAAGTCCAGGCATCCCTGGGAGACCTCTCGGACCAACTGGGCCAGCTGATCCCGGGGGACCCGGTTCTCCGTCTTCACCAGTATTGCCCTGATAAAAACGAATTTATGGAGAAAATCCAAATACACAGGAAATTATTTCTTCAGCTTATTATGATTGAAAATGGTATGAAATTTATATGTACATCTTTTCCAGACAAGCCAGGTAATCCTCGAGGACCTGGTGCACCTGGAGGACCGACAGGTCCAGGTTCTCCAGGTTCACCACGTACACCTTGAAAGCCTTGTGGTCCAGATGGACCCGGCGGGCCTATTTCATGTACGAAATTATCAATAAATTTGTCATACTATTTATCAAATACTTTCATAAAGAATGATTCCCAAGGAATAAAAAAAAATACCCGCTGGACCACGGGGACCGACGGGACCAACTTGAGTTTGTAGATAAGCTTCTGGACCATACAGCGGTGCTGCAGCTCCTGTTGGACCTTTATCTTGATTTGCTTGGGACAAAGCCAATTGTTGATAGTACATCGATACCTGTATTAATTCGTTCATGTAAATGCAAATGTTATTTACACAAACCATTTATTAAGTGAACATTTAATAAATTGTTACATCAGGTACGGAGCCTGGTGGTCCCGGAGGTCCTGGCACTCCTGGTGTCCCTGGTTGTCCAGGAAATCCAGCATCGCCTGGACGGCCAATGTCACCTGGTCGACCAGGTTCACCCTAATTCAAACGTAAAAGGAATCATAAAAATTAGGTACTTATATTGATCAAGTTTTTATAATGAAATGTAATAAATTATTCACCCTCGGTCCAGGCATGGCAACCGAATTTACTACATTACTTTCACCAGGCACGATTTCCGTCGGTGGCTAACCAAATAATAAATAATTGCTTATTAGAAATAATAATTTGATATTAGAAATGTTTATCAATTTTAAATTTTAGTTGGTGCTTACCGGATTATCTCTTTCTGAAGTTGCACTTATGACATCAGACAATTCTGTAGATACAAGTATGTCATTTACAAATTTATAAACACGCGTGTATATTTATTGTTCAAATTTCACACACCTGGATGAAAAAATCGAGTTGTTGTTGGGGTTGGTAGATCGGTGGGAGATGCTGATCCATAGACGGATCGCAATCCCTCCGCGGATGACTCGTCTCTATCTTTAAGTGTGTAACAATAAATATGTCTTTAAAGAACGTTAGGAAAATTGTATTTAGAATAAAAAATTCGAAGTTATTCGGCAACATCAGTTGATTTTTAAATTAAATAGTATTTACCTGTACTATCAGTGTTAGCTGGGGTAGTTATGAGTGAAGGCATTGGTACCGTTTCTAAACATAAAATGTAAAATTATAAATTTACAAATATAAAGTTTAGCACGAACCACGGGAAGCATATAAATATTATGTTTAAAAGTTCGAAAATAAATCAGCAGCAATAAAGGCAATGGCTATAATTTACAAGAAAATTAAACCGGGAAGCATGAGTATATGGCTATTATTGATGCGCGTATCAGTTAATAGGCTACAATAAAAACGGCAATTGTTGATTTTTATCAATTAACACAATTGATTAATTGCATTATACGAAGTGCTAAGCAGAGCATCCGATTCAAGACTTCCGGTGTTACTTACGAGAATTATTAATCCTTCCTCTAATTGCCCTGCATTTAGTACAACAATTAATTTTATGTTTTAATGAAGAATATAGTAACGACATGCGATTATAGTAGTGAAAAAGACCTTATCGTCGTATATATAAATAAGTGCTTCCTTTAAACACATTTTTATTTTCTTCCAAATACTTCTCATTCAACGGAAATGATTTGCATATGAATTATCGTGAAATTTGCAATCATATCGTTGTTACTCTTTTGGAAGGGTGCTTTTTAAGAGTAACAGATGTTGTCGTATGCGACAGATCTCATTTTTCATCAAATTTACTCACAATAATATGTTATAAAGCTAATACTTCAAAGGATACATTGACATTCACTCAAATCGTTGGAAACATAAGAAGAATGATATATAATTTCTCCAAAAACCAATTTCTACGCAAACCGATCATTTATTTGCAAGATTTACACCCTTCTCAACAAAACTAAAAGAATGACATAAATATACGATTAATGTTTTTTCTGGTCGATCCAATACAAGGACACCAAAAGGATCCTCAATATCGGAAGCATTAATCCAAATTGTAACATCATACATTTAAAAACGTTCTCGTAAGATAACAATAATCTAGATCAAAGACCTGTTTCCCACTGCATCGAAGAACGTCTTATTTAAAAGAACTTACGAATGGTAACACTCACCGTTCCTGTCTTCATACTCATCGTAACTCTCGTAATAATCGTAATCGTAATTCCCGTTCGCAGGTTGTTGAGCTTGCACCGGCCTGGACCGTTGTTTTCTCAGTTTGGTCCTGATACAGTGTACTTGCAGCAGGAGAACCTGGAACACGACGAAAGTCGTGGCCAGTTGAAGGGCCTTCCGCCCCATGAAGAACCGCGACGACCAAACCCGGCAGTGTCTGATCCTAGAGACAACTCGGCTTCATCTGAAGCTGAGGGCAACTAGACTTATGACAACTGGTGTATCATCTATTTAGCAGATGCTTTGTAACTCAAGGGAGGTCATCATCCTCCGTTTTACGATTGTAGATGCAATCCTCCCACTGCCTGGAGGTTCGATCTCATCCCTTCCCTTTGATCCCTTTCTTTGCACGCAATTTTTCTTCTTCATAATTTTTCCCACTTTTCTAGCCGACCATTTAGCTACTAATCTCTTCCACGCACATTCGAACAAAAGATTTGCGAAGGAGTATTTTACTGTAACTATTAGCGCCCATAAAAATCTCATAAAACAGACAATTCGCTCAATGGAACGGACCGAAAGTTACCATTTACTACAGTGATTACTCTTGCATCTTCCTGGCGTCTCGAATTGGTTGACTCGATTAGTTACCATAAAACTTAATTTTTATGTGTCAACAAAGAATTGTGTCACCCGCATGTGACTAGGTTGCCGCAGCCAACGTGTCAATGCGGAAGAAGCAGTATACTTTGAATACAATGCATCTTCTTGTGGCTTTTTGTTGGTCAAAGTTTAAGATGTCAGAAATGTTTTTCAAGCTCTTTAAATAATTATTTATGACCAAAAGGTGCGAGTATAATGAATATATTTGTTAAGCACCCTACTGTCGGCGATCGTAGCTTATGTATAAATGCAACGTTATGTAACATTGAATGAAATCGTTATTGATGCTTGTGTATTCATCGATCGAAGAAACAAATGTGTTATTAATCACTGAAGTAAATTGTTCGTGAAAAGTATTTGTAAGAATGGTAATTTATGTATGCGTGAATAAAGTATTTACATAAGAAGAGTTGATTGAATTGTTGCAGTAATTAGCGATGACTTAATCATACATATCGAGCGCATAAAGTTTATGGAAGTGACGTAGCGGACTCGTTCCTGCTGTAACCGTAAATCCAATTCACAGAATACGCAAATAGTGCGTCGACCCAGTTCGCGGTTCTTTCTCATTTTTATCAGGCAATTCTATGAGACTATTCCCGATACAGAGATGCGTCGTTCCCACTTAATAAGTTTATTAAATGACAATCATCATTTTGGCCGCATTCCCGGAGTGCGACTTACTTTACAAAGCGTTAACCGTAATAGGCTACATTGACCCGCGTCTCTGGCTTCGTTAGATGCAACTATAAATCAGAGCTACCACTATTTCTAATAGTGAAACTGGGCCAGCATACTATTATTCGGTGTTGACTTAGTAATATCTCACAGATATTGAACCTCCTGACTGTAAACATGCAAAACCTCTAAAATTCCTTAACTGTAGGGTGAGTGTGGTTTAGGGCAAGGTCATCAAGAGTACAGAAACGGATTGTTCACAGTCGGTTTCACTTATAACAACTATATATTATTGTTGTTTCTCATAATTACATTACAAAGAAACACAATATTTCCGCAATTTATCTTACAAACGTTAAATTTCGATATGTGAAAACTCCATTATATTA